AGGGGGGGGGAAGGGAAAGGAAAAAGAGCATTTATTTAAGTGTGTTCTAGTCCTACTCCATCAGAGAGTTTCGAAGACACCAGATTTCTTTTTTATGTCCATGTGAAATCGGGGGCTCGTCAGTTTCGAGGCATACATGTCTAAGAGTTATTACTTTACTTTTACTTTTTCATCTTCTGTTGCCGTTAAACGTCGAGGGGAGGTGCAGTTTTCTATGGTACGCCAGCTCCGCAGCTCTTTCATTTGTGATATTATGCTTTCTCGGGGTTTCCTTGACACCATCGATCCACCTTTTGCATGGCCTTCCTCTTCCTTTATAGCCTGAGTGCTTGGTGTTGTAGGCTCTCGTGGCTGGTTGATCAGGTGACATACGTATGTCTAGAGTCATTACTATCAAATCAAAAGTTGCATGCATTTGTGTGCTTGTGTTTTCTCACAGGCCTCTGAAGTGCATCGAGTCGTACATTCGTGAGAATGTGATGCCAACCTACGCCAACACACACACCGAAGTCAGCTTCAACGCCCAGCAAACCACACTGTTCAGAGAGGAAGCCAGGTGAGTGTGTGTGTTTGTGTGTGTGTGTGTGTGTGTGTGTTTGTGTGTCTTTGTGTGTGTGTGGGGGCGTAAGAGAGAGAGAGAGAGAGAGAGAGAGACTGAGAGGGAGGGGGAGAGAACGAGATTGGGAGAGAGAGAGTGAGAGAGAGAGATAGAGAGAGAGAGACTGAGAGAGAGATTGTGAGAGAGAAGGTGAGAGGGAGGAGGAGAAGGAGGAGGAAAGGGGGTGAAAGACAGAGACAAAGAAATATGGAGAGGGAGAATGAGAAAAAGAGAGGTGGAGGGTAAAAGAAAAAGATGCGAAGCGAGCGAGCGAGACAGGAGAGAGAGAGAGAGAGAGAGAGAGAGAGAGAGAGAGAGAGAGAGAGAGTGAGAGAGACAGAGAGACAGAGAGAGAGAGAAGGAGAGAGAGATTTACAGACAGTCTAACAGAGTCAGATAGACAGAGAGAAGGGAAAGGGGAGGAGGAAGGTAAGAGAAAGAAACTCACCAACAAAAGGACAGACAAACAGACTGAAAGAAAGACAAGCAGACGGACAGCCAGGCAGGTGTATAGACAGACAGACGCGAAGGCTGGCAAACAGAAGAAGAAATCAGCTAAAAGGTGTTTTCAATCAACAGAAGAATACTACGTTTTTCTCAGAGGGCCTGCATTTTTCACGCCGAAATCTTTGGGTGCATTTTATAGATCCCCGAGGAGGAAAATGCGTGGGAAACTCCATCACAGAGTTTCAAACACACAAGATTTCTTTTTTGTGTCGCAGCGAAGTGGAAACGGACGCTCGTCCGTTTGGGGGCATGTAGAGTTATCACTATCAAATTAAAAGTTCTTTATTTACACTTTTTCTGAACACTGTGTAAAAAAACAACCACCTTGATTTATCGTGCATGGAAGTCGAAATGTAGATGTTACTGGTGAAATAAGCGAGAAAATGGCCGCCAACGTTTAGTGACTTTTAAAGCTGAATACTCGTAGCTAGATCTAGTCGTCCAAAACAAAAACATATTTTTTACTTTAAAATGTTTTCTATAAAATTCGTCCAGGAATGATATGATCTGTAATATTTGTAGGATAGAGAAGATATCCATGGTTTTCTTTAACAATGTTCATAAAAATTGCCCAACAATCGGTAAATACTGATCCTCCGTTCCCGAAAATTTGACGAACGCTTGATGTGATTCCATCGCGATGACTCAAAAATATTATGTTATGACGGTAGTACAACTTTCTAAACCTTGACATTGAGCGATAGAATCTAGTCTCCGATGACGCTGACTGTGACAGGAAATGAGCTCGTCATAGAGAGTAAGATATTTCTGAGATGCTCACTCTTAGGAGACGTGCATTCTGCTCACTCCACAACGGTAGAAAAGAAGTTGCAACCCCAGAATTTCAAAGTTTTGTCTGCTCAGTACCTAGTTGTGAGAAATTTTACATCAACATTTTTGAGTTTCACAATACGCCAAGCTTTTTTCGAATGCAATTTTTTGAATGTCTTGATAACAGCCCTGAATAATCTTACGATTTTGTATAGAACAAATAGAACATTAATTTGGTTTCTGACCTCATGGTCTTAGTAACTCAAAACGGACCAACCGTCAGATAGAACTTTGTAATTCTGAGGTTGCAAAGTGATGATGATTTTTTCGGGCGCTCAAAAATGAGATCCACAGCTGACTTATTGTTGGAATCTTTTTTTTATTGTTTTCTTTTTCTCCGAAACGTTAAAAGGTAGTCAATAACGTGTTTGTTGTGAAATACGGAGATTAATTTTTGTGCTTCTGATGTGTGTATGTTTCTAAATGCACGGCCACATTGCCTTTGGTCTGCCGTTAATTGGATACTATGTCCACCACGTCATTAAAGAGTTAATCTCTTTTCTCCTCTCCCCCCCCCCCTTTTTTTTCCCCACAACAAGGGCGATAATTAAGGAGGCGGTGAATGCCACAGAAGACGACGCCGTTATCTTCACCGGAAGTGGAGCCACGTCTGCTGTCAACAAGTTGCTGCACGCCCTCAAGCCCAAGAAACCGGTGAGTGCTTTCTCTCTCTCTCTTTGTCTCTTTCTCTCTCTCTCTCTCTCTCTCTCTCTCTCTCTCTCTCTCTCTCTCTCTCTTCCCCTATGTGTATCTATTTATCTTTTTTTTTAAGTAAACGTTTAAGAAAGAAAAAGAAAATAATTACGTTAAGAATAAAGATTCAATTGAATATGGAAATAAGAAATAATTATTACAAAATGGAAATTTAAATAGAGGCCTCAAAAAACACAGGCGACAATAATTATTATTATTATGTGGGCTCTCATTGCACCCACACTTGAATGCATATTAAGCTATTACAAATAGGTCTAACACAATAAGAACAGAAGAAAATAATAATCCCATACAATAAATTAGTTAGATCTATGTATAAAAGCGGAAGCACTAGTTATTGCGTCATGAATAGGGGAGTGGAGACTAGGCCAACATCTCTGAGGACACTTTTTTATCCTTGAGGTTAATAAGTACAAGTAGATGTGTGATTTAGTGCTGTGCGATTTTTAGGCCAAGGAAAGGAAACTCTATCGAGTATCGAGGCTTCGAAGCCTGAAATCACTACTCGTACCATTCGGATACCGTGTGCGAATTTTCTCCTTTCTTTTTCATTTTTTTAAAGGTTTACTTGTTTGTTTGTTTGTTTATTTGTTTTTGCTCTTTGTTTTTTTCTTATAAGTCAATCAACAATTGTTTTTATCCACCCCACTTTATCTTTATCATCAAATACAAAATGTTTCTGTAAAATGTTTTCAATGATTTCAGATTATAATATACTTTTAATTATGTTATAACTTTACAATGGGGATGAGAAATAGATGAAACGAAAATTCTTAACCCATAAAAAATCACAAGTCATTCGAATGGTTCTACCACACATAGACATGGACTGGTCTTAATATGACAGTGTGCGTAATAATTATAATAGCAGCTAGCGACCGTAAGCAATGACAGGTCATTCCACGTCAACTTCTGTGCCAGAGATGGCACCTCCAGGACTATCCAAGCCACCGGGCCACGCTTCGAATTTTCTATGAAAAGAGCAAAAATCGTGAATATTGAATAGTAAGCTAGCCTACATCATTGGAATTTGCAAATCTAGCTCTAGTGTGGTTCTGACCAGTGCATATTCGGCCCAGCCTCTAGCTCTAAGCCTAAGCTTGGCGTGTATCTACGCACGCACAATGTGTAGGGGGGAAATGGGAGCGGAAGTAGGACATGGAGGTTACCCACTTCCTGTGACCGGCTAAGTGTTTCGATTGGCTACTTGAGTTTCCAGCTCACACAAGAGGGGTCGGTGCTAGGGAGGCCATGGCATGGGTTCAAAGCGTACCGTGCAGGCTGCAGCCGAGAGGTCAAACACGTCGCTTTTAACCTGATTAGAGACTTGCGTATGTCGCAACGTTGGCTTCGTTTAATTAATCACAATCTATAAATATGAATGTACTTTTACGTCATTCTGAAAGAAAGAAAAAGAACAAGGACTGTTGGTGGTAGTCGCTTTCCCTCTTTCCAGAAAGCTTTTGACGGATTTACTCGTTAAATCTACGGGTGGGTTGCGAGCGGTCTAACATACAGTTTGGTCGTTATTTCCTCCCAAACATCTCTCGTTCTTCTCCCTGTTCTTTCTTTTCTTTAATATTTATATTGCTATTGTAAATTACACAGTTGTGTTAATTACAATCCCCCTCCCCCATACTCTCTCTCTCTCTCTCTCTCTCTCTC